GGGAGAATGGACGCCGTTGGGCTGAAATTCTGACAGACCAGGGCATTGCTTCTGCAGAACTTTCAAGTTTCTTGGATATGTGCAGGGATCCCAAATTGCTGGGTTGGAACTTTGGTATCCCAGAACCTCAGTGGGATAATTTCGGCAACTCAGTGGAGGAAGCATTTAACAATCCATTATTTGCCAAACTGCACTATCGTTTCAAGCAGGAGGAAGAGATTGGCCGTGTCATGCACCTTTTGTCTGAACTTGTTTGTGACTTTTTCGTCAAGGTGCTTCCCAGGTGGGTTCTTAAGCATTCGATCTTGTGGGAAGAGTTTATGATCTTGGATCCACACACAAAGCTCCCTCTTTACAAGACTTCAGAGGCCGCCTTACAAGCAGAAGAGGATCCAGAGAAGTATCATACACATTTTGCTATGAACTTCAAGAAATTCCGTTTTTCTGCAAGAATTGTGTGGTATTTGATTGACCGTGACAGGAATCATTTAGAGAGTTTTCTTCACAACTCCAACAGTAGATTTGTGCAACATGCATGCTATCAACTTCGTGAGTATGTTCAAGCGCGTGTTGCAGTTTCTGATCCCTTGTATGAGATGATCAAGAAGGAAGAGTTTGAACGCCAATACAATTCCAAGTTTTTGGAGGCGGTTTCTTGCTCTCGTGTTGTAGTTGAGCCTGTAAGTTCAGGGACGTATGAGCCATCATCGAAGCTGAACTTAAAGGTACTACAAGACATCCTGAAGGGTATCTTTAAGATCCAGAAGGATGAGGAGCATGCCAAGGAACGTGAGGAAGAAGAAGAACAGGCAGCTCAAAACATCTCATACCTGTTGGCAGATGATATGGAGCTTGATTTCGATGATGATAATGTTCCAGTATGGCGCTCCATTGTCGACAAGTATAGAGAAGGTGATCAGGTGCTACAGGGAGAAGCTGTGAAGATTACTCACCTGTTCAGGGATCAAAAGGACAATGAGAAGGCGACAGAAGCTTTCAGTTCAGAGAGGACAGATTTTTATGAGACCTCAGGACCTCTTCCAAGAACCATGGGAGAAAATCTTGTAGAGGACTTGCTCACCAAGGATGTTGCAGAACAAGCTTTTGATGCAGGTGAAGAAGTTCCTCCTTATACAAGAGTCTCCACTATCGCTGGTGGAATCTATACTGGAAGTATGACACTTCTAGAAGATGAGGATATGGAAGAGGAAGTTCCTGAAGAAGATCCTGCAGTTGAACCTGAAAAGGAAGAAGAAATATTTGATGAGAATGCAGGTGTTTTTCCTTCAGAGGAACCAAAGATGGAAGTGGACCAGGAGGAAGCCAAGGAGGAGTCAACACCACACTTTCTGTCAAGAGAGATAGGTGAGGACTCGGCTGCATCGCACTTACCATCAGGTGAGATGGATGCTAACCTTGATGATACTCCACGTCTGCCGAAATCTAAGAAAAGCCGCCTGAATAAAATACCTGATCCTCATTTTCATGAAGAAGTTCAGGATGATGCAACCATGGAAGAGAAGAAAGAGGCGGTGGAGAAAATAAAAGAGGTCAGAGAGGATGATGGAGAGAAGAAATTGGAGGCTGAAATCCAGGAATCTTTTCCATCTGAAGTAGTTGTTGAAAAGGATACAACAAAAGTTGACAATACCTATGAGTTGCATACTTCACCTTTGAAGTTGCTTGGAGAGCTTACAGGAGATCCAGGTATTGGCCTTTATCAACAATGCTTCAGGGAAACTCACGCAAGATTGCTGAATCATGTTTGTTTCAGAAAAGGTGAGATTTCCCATCCTCATTATCAGTCAAGGATCAACGAGAATGATTTTGTTCGATCCATTCGTAATATCTGTCCAGTACCTCCACCTGATTGTTATGAACACGAACCAGAGCATGATTTGAAGAGATTCTTTATCAATGATGATCGCATCATTCATTTGGATGGCAAGTATCAGGTCGATCCAAAGGCCCTTGAAAGGGCAGAACATGCTCGAGAAGAATTGGAGGATACGAAGAAGGAACTTAAGAAGGAACTGGAATCATATGGTCCCAAGGGACCCAGTTGGGACTTTGTCACCTTCTATGAAGAGCTGTGCAGAAGGTTCCTCAAGGGAAGAATAGAAGAACCATATGGAACTAACTTATTGGCCAGCTCAGAGTCCTTGACATTTTTATCCTGGAACTATGGCAACATGGTTCGTGGTCAGAAGTACACCACACCAAGGTTTGATAGTGCAATGAGGCCACGCAAACAGAGCGCCATGTCACTTCAGAATGAGCAATTTGAGAACAACCTTTTCTTCAACATGCTCTTCTTTTTACGTGCACATGTCGTGATTCTCCAGGAAGCTCATCTTCTTGTTCCTGCCAAGGAATTTATTGAGCAAAAGAATTGGACAGTTTGTTTCAATGATTGGGAGAATCTTGCAGTGATGGCTAGATTGGCACCAGGTGGATATGTCAAGATCATTGCTGGACATGATCAAGAACTTGGTCACTGTGAACAGCGTGATGTAACTTGGGCTATCTACGAGATTTGTTTTGGAGAAACAAGGCCTCGTCAAGATTTCAAGGATGCAGACTTTGAATTTGATGACTATGGTCCTGAGGACAAGCGTGTTCCACTTACTCGAGCGAACATGCATACCATCAGAGTCTGTAATTATCATGTTGATACACACCGTGCTGTGGATGCCCACCTACTGACAGGAGAACAGACAGCATTGATGCTTTACGAGTGTTTTGTCTATGAGGTGGACATCATTTCTGGTGATGCAAATAGTTTGGCCTACAGAATGTCTGGGTACAAAAGGCAGCCAATGGCTAACTACTATTACAGCACCATGCAGCATTGGATCCGCAGGTTTTCAGAAGCTCGTGTAAAAGCAGATCCTGGTATCAAAGCACCTATTCCCAGAACATTTTACAGTTCAACTTCACAGGTCCTCAAGAAGTGTGAAGTTTACTTTGATAAACTCTGGGAAGAATATTCTACTGCTGAAAAAGAAGAATACCAAGGATCACAGCTTGGCGATACATGTTTGTCTACCATTGTTGAATGGGGTCATTCAATGAGTGAAGAGGAATATGAAAATTCCACAGTGAGCACGAAGGAGTTCATCTGTAATTTTTCAGAGAACTTTGCTATGATTGACACGGAGGTTATGTGCTCAAGACCCTCTGACGAGGACAGTCATGGTCCAATGTTTATTTCACTCAGACCAGCTTCCTTTTCATCTGGAGACAGAAGACAGTATCGCATGGGAGCAACTCTTCATGAGGCGAACTTGCGGAGGAAGGAGAGACAGAAGCAGAATAGAAGGAAAGGAAGGCCGCCAACTTCTGATCAAGCAGCTTCATCGTCTGCAGCGGCATAATTCCTGAGCGAAGGCTGAAATTTAAATGATGGCTAGGAAGTGAAGATACTTCTGGTTACAGTTGATACTTTGCTTCCAAGCTTGACTTTAAGTTGCCGGGCTGAAGTTTTAAACTTTAGCAGGTAGATATGGACAGTTTTACATAACTGATGATATCTATCACCACCGCTCTTATGAAGTGACCTCTAATGGACAACCAGTCATGGTTGATGATTAAGTCATTTCATGATTTGCAATTGTAGTGCAAGATTTTTTTTGTACATACATTTGCCGGTATCTCCTTCTTGTGTTTTTGATGTGAATGTGAAAGAGAGTCCTTTTGATGCAGTTTTATTTTGTCTGTGGATGAAAGCGGTCGAGACCACGTCACGAGAAGATTATTCCTCGGACCGTACGGACCGTACGCTCCTTGCATTTTGCAAGGCATTTTAATTAATTGCATTTGTGCGGTCTTGAGTTTTTGTTTCCTTGTTACGCGAGTGTCGTTTGATTCTTTTATAGGTCTCTGTAGAGAAAAAGCCGCTTTCCCTTTTTAGTTTGATTTAGCTCAGGCCATAAAGAGCTAGTGAGCGCCGGTACATGGTATCTCCGCCTGTGAAAAATACAGTCTCCAGCCGAGGTACATTATCTTTTTGATTTTGGACTTGAGGTGAGTCAGCTATTGCTCCCTCACTGTATTTAGTAGCTTTGAGATTACCTTCTCTATAGTGTGAAACACACTGGATTAGGTAAGTACATGGCACCGTAGTTTTCTTTTAAGTTGCTAGAGCTAGCTGGACTGTTTTAGCCTTGCAGTAGAAAAAGAGTGTGCGACATACGCAATCAGCTAGGAGTGGACATGAATCTTGTGCCTGCTGAAAAGTAGAGCCTACCTGTACAGGGTTCCACTCCAACAGCCGATATAGTGTGTCCATACTTGACTGCTTCAAGGCTCAAAGAGCAAGAGGATAAGACTCTGCGCATAAAAGACACTAGCGGTCTGCACCTCTACCGTGTACGCCCTAGTCACTCTTTCACCCCCCTCCCCCCCTCTAAAATCAATTCTCTCCTGGAGAACGTCTTCGTGAGCCTCTCATGATTTCAGGATAGTTGAAACCCTCTTGAACATTTAGAAAGAGTGAATATGAAATTCTAATCACGAAAGGTGTTCCCCGAGGGGATACATACCTAGAGTTTGTTTTGTGAAGCACGTCAATTCTCTCCTGGGGAGCGTCTTCGTGAGCCTCTTATGGTTTCAGGATAGTTCAAATCCTATGATGTTCCGATTCAATGCTCACCGATGATCTGAGCCATGGGGCAAGTTTGTTTTCCTAAGAACCTTTTTGAACATTTCGAGAGCATATGTTTGAACATTTAGAGTGCATATGAACATTTACGAAAGGTCGCCTCCGAGGGGATAAATCACCATGTCGAACATTGCATTTTGTTCCTGCCCCTCGCGTTCTCTTCTCTTCCCGCTGTCCTACCTTTCGTGTCTCCCTCCTCTCAAGTAAAGTTTAAAGCATTGCTCGTCGTTCCACCTCGGCACTTCAGAGCACCCCGCACCCCGCTTTCGGGGCCCGCGGGACCCGGCCTTCGGCGTCGCTTGCGGCGGCTCGTTGGTCATTGGTCTTTCCAGCTGAGGATGCACCAATGGAGAGCTTGCCAGCCTTCCCAATTCCATCAAGAAGAGACTCACAGCGCTCCTCCATTAGCAGCAGGAATGATATCATCGATGCCCTTGAGGAACTTCAAGAAACTTGGTTCGATGATGGTGTCACATACACATAACATCACATTGAACCGCTCTATGCTACGGCATATCAAGGCTTCTTTTTTGCATCACAAGGAATGGCATGCTTCGCAATTCCGAGAAATCCACTGGTTGGATCGGTCAGACAACGCTGTATAGCACCGTCATGCGACGTGACCTGACGATGCCGTGTGCTCAGGAGGCGACCTTGCTCCTGAACAATTGCAAAGCCTACGAGATTCTGGAAGCTCATCTCCTTTTCAAACGTTTCAAGCCGACCGCCCCAAGCCTCAAAGCTCGCAGCCATCGCCATGGTGGCGATCCAAAGGCACCAAAGCTGACGGAGAGCCCCAGCCTACAGACGCCTGGAACAAAGCGATGCGAAGCAGACAGGACATATTTGATGTTTTTGTATCAGAATCGTTGCAGTTCATGGTGAATACATGGGAAACATGCACTCCTTTGACCTGTTGAGAAATTTTCTGGCAAACGATCTCTCTATATCTCTCTGCACGAGGTCCCACTACTATCCTGAAGTATCCTGGGTCCTGAACAGTCCAAACAAGCGAATGTTTTGAAGGAGCTAAGTTGCACTTGTGATCGTCCCAGAGTGCTTACAAGTCTATGCTTGATGAACCAACTTGACGCTTTCTCGTCCCAAAACTGCTTTGACACTCATTCAGCACGAATTGCTGGAACTTTTGGAATTGCAAGTCCAACTGCGTCAGCGCAAAGGCCTCGAGATCCAACGGACAGAAAACAAGAACGATAATAACAACAAGGTCAAGACGAACAAGAAAGCCAAAAATACCAAAGAACAGCTAAACAAGAATAACCACAAGAACCTGAAGAAAAAGTCTTTTTTACATCGAGTGATCTCCACCATATCATTTCAATCATTTGTTTTCACGCCATGGTGAGGAGCATGTTACTCGGTCGTGGGTTTTGTATGGTTTTGCGGTTGTTATTTTGCTTGCGGGTTTGGGATTGTTATTTGAGCGTCAGGGAGTTTGCATGGGGGTGTCGCCAGGGTCTCCAGTTGGCATCCAAAAGTGCTACCCTGTGTCCACCTGCCATGCAAAATGCCACCACACACACAGGTAGTTATATTACTATATATTGTTTGTGTGCGTGTGTGTGTGTGTCACCCCCTGTACCAAAGGGTTCCATGCCACTGTTTTTCACTACAACCACTCAACGAGGCAGGGGGCCACAGCTCCTTTCATCAGTCTGTGGCCAACGAAGCTACTGATGATTGGAGAGGATATGAACCTGTGACGCCAGGTTCACGTACCTGCTTTCCTTTTCAACTGTTGACAAGCTGTCCACTTTCGCTTTTTTGTTTCATGGTGTTTCATGATACCCCCCCCCAAACAGGTTTCTTACAGCAGCCGTCCGCAGCCTTGCACCGCTTTGCAGCCGCGTCTTGAGAGCGATTGGAAACCATGTTCAACCATACTGTTCCAGCTGACTTTTCCACCTTGCGGTTCTTCGCCTTTCTTCCCATCGGGAAATTGAGTGTAACTGAAAACCAATGTCAGAGTGTGTTTCGCTCAGCCGTCCCACTCGGGTGCTGAGTGTGATCCCCGTCACTGGGGCGCTGAATTCACTCCGGAAATCGTGTAACTGAGCTTTTCCACCTTCGCCGGAATCCACCACTGGATCAACCTTAACTGAATTTACTGCCTCCACGGCCGCCGGGCCAAAAAACGGGACATCAACAGATTCCACCCTGCATCGGTTTTGTATCAGCTCTGAACTTTGCTTTTCATGGTTTTTTTCCTCAAGCTGAGCGATTTGATTCATTCCGACCGCTTAATTCGAGTTGCATGGACTTACCACCTTCCACACTTTCACAACTTCCACAACTACCGCTTTTACGCTACATTTTCACATTTCACACCTTTCCACCTTCGAGCGCTGACGCTGCTGCCACTGAGCTTGTGAAACTCTACGTCCAAAAAAGGACACGACTCAACAGCTTGCAGCCGGTTTTTGAAAAGAAAAAGCGCCGATCACGGCGACCTGTGTGTGTCACCCCCTGTACCAAAGGGTTCCATGCCACTGTTTTTCACTACAACCACTCAACGAGGCAGGGGGCCACAGCTCCTTTCATCAGTCTGTGGCCAACGAAGCTACTGATGATTGGAGAGGATATGAACCTGTGACGCCAGGTTCACGTACCTGCTTTCCTTTTCAACTGTTGACAAGCTGTCCACTCTCGCTTTTTTGTTTCATGGTGTTTCATGATACTCCCCCCCCAAACAGGTTTCTTACAGCAGCCGTCCGCAGCCTTGCGCCGCTTTGCAGCCGCGTCTTGAGAGCGATTGGAAACCATGTTCAGCCATACTGTTCCAGCTGACTTTTCCACCTTGCGGTTCTTCGCCTTTCTTCCCATCGGGAAATTGAGTGTAACTGAAAACCAATGTCAGAGTGTGTCACCCCCTGTACCAAAGGGTTCAATGCCACTGTTTCCACCACCGCTACTCCATAAGGCAGGGGGATCAGGCTTCCAGTGACTAACCTGATCCAACGAAGCTGGGCCACTGGAAGGGAAGTGGTTGAGGACGCTCAACCATGTACCTGCTGAGTTCTTCACAAGCTGTCACCCTACTTTTCCACGGTTTGTTTCATGGTTCTTCATGTTTCCACCCCCAAACCTTTTGCCGCTCTCTCATGCAGCTGAATTGTGCAGAGGCTCGCCGCCGCAGACCTGTCAACAGTTTGTTCAAACAATACAAGTGTGCTGACTTTTTCACCTTGCGTTTCCCTCACCTTCCTTCTCAACGTGGGAACTGAGTTCACTGAATACCAATGTCAGAGTGTGTTTCGCTCAGCCGTCCCACTCGGGTGCTGAGTGTGATCCCCGTCACTGGGGCGCTGAATTCATGCCGGAAATCGTGTAACTGAGCTTTTCCACCTTCACCGGAATCACCACTTGATCAACCTTAACTGAATTTACTGCTTCCGCGGCCGCCGGGCCAAAAAACGGGATTTGATCCCCTTTCAGGCAGGTCTCCCAACCCCCCCCCACCGCGTTCTTATCCCGACCTAATTAGGGTAACACAGGGAAATGGTACTCGGCACACTCGTGTGTCGGTGCCTTTCCCTTTGTTGTCCCTGTTCTAGTCTATCCTACCCGGGCGGTCTAAGACTAAAGTCCCGCTCCCTAACTATTGCATTTAATTCTTTTCTGCTAAGTAATCAGTAACTCTAGAGTGCTAGGTATTCACACACTTCGAACTTCGAACTTGGGTTTTCAGTTAGACTCAATTGCCACGATGGGAAGTAAGGTGAGGGAACAGAAAGGTGCATAGGTCGGCAAAACAGTATTGTTTAAACATGTTTTCAAAAAGGCCTCGAAGTCGATCTGTACATTCGGTGCGGTGACGAGCGCAGCAGCAGGAAAGTGGGTTTAGGGGAAGAAATGTGGAAGGACCATGAAACAAACCGATCAAATTGGACAGCGTGGTCAAAAGTTGTTCAGCAGGTACGTGAGTCGAGCGTCCTCGACTCATATCACGGGAAACGTGCAGCGTCTTCGTTGGTCGCTGACTGCACGAATCCCCAGCGACCCCCTGCTTCAGTGGAACAAAGAGGTGGGAACATGGAAAACCCTTAGAACCAGGGTGTGACACACACAACAAGCTGTGATCGGCGCACAGAGCGAGCGGTGGAAAACACGGATTTTCTGAGTGGATGTGCAGTGGTGAGGACTTGTCCAGTGATGCAATCTCTGAGATCTGTGGTGTAAAACTGTGAAATCTGAAATCTGTCAAATGGCTGCGGTTAAAAGTTGATGGAGTGATCAAACGCACAAACGGAAGAAGTTCAGAAATCAAAGGTGGGAATTCCATCGTTTATAGCCCGGCGGCTCGAAAATCAGGAAATTCAGGAATAAAAAGGATGAAGGAAAACCAGTTATAAAAGTGGAGAAACAATGATTTCCGGCATGGCTTCAGCGCCTCCTTTCGGAGGGTCACACCCAGTACCCACGTGGGAAGACTGAGTGGTCCACACTTCGAACTTGGGTTTTCAGTTAGACTCAATTGCCACGATGGGAAGTAAGGTGAGGGAACAGAAAGGTGCATAGGTCGGCAAAACAGTATTGTTTAAACATGTTTTCAAAAAGGCCTCGAAGTCGATCTGTACATTCGGTGCGGTGACGAGCGCAGCTGCAGGAAAGTGGGTTTAGGGGAAGAAATGTGGAAGGACCATGAAACAAACCGATCAAATTGGACAGCGTGGTCAAAAGTTGTTCAGCAGGTACGTGAGTCGAGCGTCCTCGACTCATATCACGGGAAACGTGCAGCGTCTTCGTTGGTCGCTGACTGCACGAATCCCCAGCGACCCCCTGCTTCAGTGGAACAAAGAGGTGGGAACATGGAAAACCCTTAGACACACACACACACACATGTACACACACATGAACATACACCCCCTCCCTGCCCCCCGCTTTCCTTCTTGCGCTTTTCGTCGTTTGTTGGGCTTTCTCTCAGGCTTTTTAGGTTGCTCTTGAGGCTCGCTTCCCTACCCCAGTCAAGGGCTAAGTATTCACTTTTTCTACACCTACCTTTCCTTCTTGCCCTCTTAGCGCTGCTCTTTCTGTCTTTCTTTTCTTTTGTTTCTAAGGCTTTTTAGGTGACTATTGAGGTGTTTCACACGAGCGCCGCGAAGCGGCACAGTGTGTGTGTCACCCCCTGTACCAAAGGGTTCAATGCCACTGTTTCCACCACCACTACTCCATAAGGCAGGGGGATCAGGCTTCCAGTGACTAACCTGATCCAACGAAGCTGGGTCACTGGAAGGGAAGTGGTTGAGGACGCTCAACCATGTACCTGCTGAGTTCTTCACAAGCTGTCACCCTACTTTTCCACGGTTTGTTTCATGGTTCTTCATGTTTCCACCCCCAAACCTTTTGCCGCTCTCTCATGCAGCTGAATTGTGCAGAGGCTCGCCACCGCAGACCTGTCAACAGTTGTTCAAACAATACAAGTGCTTTGACTTTTTCACCTTGCGTTTCCCTCACCTTCCTTCTCAACGTGGGAACTGAGTTCACTGAATACCAATGTCAGAATGTGTTTGAAGTTTGTGTGTTTGTCGTTTGTGCATTATTGATTTGTTTGTGGTTTTGTGTTTGTGGTTGTGTGTTTGTGGTTGTGTGTTGTGGTTGTGTGCTTGATGTTGTTTGCTTGTGGCTGTGTGTTTGTGGTTGCGTGTTTGATGTTGTTTGTTTGTAGTTGTGTGTTTGTGATTGCGTGTTTGTGGCAGTGTGTTTGTGGCTGTGTGTGTGGTTGTGTGTTTGTGTTCTTTTTTGTTCGGGGCTGTGCTTGTGGCTGTGTGTTTGTGATTGTGTGTTTGTGGTTGTGTGTTTGCGTGTTTGAGAACAACATAGAACAACACAGCTGACAAGACGAAAAAGAACCATGATAGTAGCAAGAATACTGACTGTAACAAATAACAAGAACAACGCACCTAACAAGAAGAACAAGAAGAACAAACGCAAGGAGGAAGGTAACAAGATCAAACAAGTACAACAGGAACACGAAGAGCAAGAAGGATAACAATAACAAGAAGGAGTAGAAGAGCAAGAATAATGTAACAATAACAAAAGGAGGGCCATTTAAATTTAGGATCTTTTTGTTTTTTAAGGATTTTTCTTGTTTTTCGTGGCTTCTGTGAAGCAAGCAAGCAAGCAAGAGCTGCTCACCTTTGGATCTGGTGTGCTGCTGGAAGAAGCGCTGCGCCCCCCCCCAACACCCCCCGCGCCACGAAATCTGCACTTCATCTCCGCCACCCGCGCCTGCCACGAAATCTTTCTCTTTGCTTTTCTGCTAACTGCACCAAACTGCTGTGATAGTCTGACACCTACACTATTCCAATGCAAATCTGTCTACCTATCCATTTGTCTGTCTGTATCTATTTATCTATCTCTCGATCTATCTATCTTTCTATTTTTCTTTCTATCTTTATTTCTTTCCTATCTATTTATCTATCTGCACTTCAACATCCACAAAGTCCTTCACCTGCCACGAAATCAAAATCGGCACTTCAAGGCCCGCAAAGCACTGCACCTGCCACGAAATCTGCGCTTCAAGGTCTACAAAGTCCTGCGCCTGCCACGAAATCTGCACTCCAA